GCGATGTTTGTAACATTTCTTTTGCAAACATTGCTGGTTGGTAGTCTGTGAAGACATGGAAAAAATGTTTCACTTACCTTTGTTCCTTTGTTGTTACAAATAGATAAGACTCCCAGCCCTGCCGCTAATCCTTACGGCTACTTATAATTAGTTACATGAATGGTTACGCATCGGAACATCCTGCGTTTCTTTGCAAAGGCACCACTCTGTGGAAACGTGGCCTGGAAGGAAGTGTGTCAGTGCCCTTTCGCACATGCGGGGTGGGGGGGGGCGCTGCATTGCGGACAGAGCCTGTTTAGCGCTGCTGGTGCTGGTGAGACAGCCTTTGCTCCTTTTTTTCCCTCACGGGCACCGGTTTCTCGATGGGAAGATGATAACCGCTGCTGGCCCTGGCGGCTGTGTAAAATGCAATGTGGATGCTTTGTGTCCTGTTCCAGCCACGGCGGTCACTTGGGAATTTGTGCCTTTCTGTAATTCCCTTCACGTGGAGAGGCAGGAGCTGCCCGGCCCTCCTCCTGTAGGGCTGTAGGTTTTGTTGACCGTGACCACGGCATGCACAGCATTGCCCTGTCTGAACACTGAGCAGGGAAGAACTCTCGGCCTGAGAGGGTCCCCCAAAAGGCTGCCAGGGGCTGGGAGTTTTCTTTTCTTTTAAGATTTACTTATTTATTTTTAGAGAGGGAAGGGAGGGAGAAAGAGAGAGAGAGAGAGAAGCATCAATGTGCGGTTGCTGGGGGCCATGGCCTGCAACCCAGGCACGTGCCCTGACTGGGAATCGAACCTGCGACGCTTTGGTTTGCAGCCTGTGCTCAATCCACTGAGCTACACCAGCCAGGGCAGATTGGTGTTTTTTAATTAAATTTATTGGGGTGATGTTAATACAGTTTTAGAGGTTTCAGGTGTATGATTCTGTGATCCCTCATCTGAACATTGCATTGTGTGCCCACTAACCAGTCACATGCTCTTCTATCACCGTAGATTTGACCCCCTTAAAATTATTATTCTTTTTAAAGGTTTTACTTACTTATTTTTAGAGAGAGGGGCCGGGGGGAGAAAGAGAGGGAGAGAAACATTGATGTGCGGTTGCCTCTCTGGCACCCCCTACGGGGTACCCGGCCCGCACAACCCAGGCGTGTGCCTTGCCTGGGAATCAAACCAGCGACCCTTTGGTTTGCAGACTGGTGCTCAGTCCAGTGAGCCACAGCAGCCAGGGCAAAAGTATTTTTAAAATTCAAAATAAATTCAGATTAGGTTTGGTGGGCAGTTTGTGGGGAAGGTTTCGCCAGGGGGGCCCTCATGAGAGTGGATGATTTTATCGGGAACCCTGGAAAACCTAAGATGGACTGACAATATCATGGCTTTTTGGTGCTTGGAGGAGAGGACCCTCAGTGCTGGTGTGAGGTTCTGTTTTGCAAGAGCGGCCGTGGCATGGAGGGCGCTCACAGGGCACGCAGGCTGCTGCAGGACGTGAGGGACCCCCGCCTGTGCGGACGATCTCACCTGTGTGAAAACACCCGCAGGGAAACACGGGCAGAGGCGTGTCCTGGGTTGTTATCCTCACGTCATGTGGGGTTGCCTTTCATCTTCTCATGGGCCTCCTAATTTGTTTTTCTTCATTACACATTTTTGTTGTTGTTGATTTGAGACAGAGAGAGCGAGCGAGAAGCATCAGTATGTTGTTCCACTTATTTGGGCATTTATTTATCGGTTGACTTGTGTGAGTGCCCTGACCGGGGATCGAACCCGCAACCTTGGTGTATGGGGAGGACGCTCCAACCCACTGGACTAGGCAGGCAGCACAGGGCTCTCCACGTTTCGGTGTTCCACGTTTTGTACCATAAGATGCACAGGCACCAGCAGCCCTTTGGCTGAGAAGAATCTCTAACCCAGACACTGGGATGACCTGGGGGCCTCGGCAGAGTGTCCAGGGGGCCTGACCGTGGGCTTGTCCCGCTGCCGTTGGGAGGTCCGTGCAGGGGGGAGGGGTCAGCCCTTCCCCTCGCTGGCTTCCTCCCTGGGGCCCCTGCCCAGAGGCGCCGTGTCCGGGCTGAGCTGTGCTCTGCTCCCTCTAGGGCTGGAAAGATTGGCGCGTAGCTCTCCCAGCCTTTCCAGCCTGCCTCTGGAGTGGCTCTCCCCCACCTACCCACCCACCCACCCACCCATCCATCCATCCACCCATCCATCCATCCATCCATCCACCCACCCATCCACCCACACACCCACCCACCCATCCATGCATCCATCCATCCACCCATCCATCCATCCATCCACCCACCCACCCATCCATCCACCCACCCATCCATCCACCCACCCATCCATCCATCCACCCACCCACCCATCCATCCATCCATCAACCCATCCATCCAACTGCCATGGGGGTGTGTCTCCTGACCCAGCGGACACCTCGCTCAGGGGTGGTTTGCGGCACCAGCCGGCTGCGTTTTTTCAGTTGTGATGCGCCGGGCTCTGTCAGGAGGCAGGGCAGGGTTCCCCCCAACACCCCCCTCCCCCTCCGCGCGAGGGTGGCCTGGTGCTGGTCTCCCAGACCCTCCCCGCAGGGCGTTTCGGTCCCTTGTCTTGTGGCCTGTCTGTGTGCTCCTCCCACCTCTGCAGGAACTGGCGGTTTCAAGCCACCTGTGTGTCGCGTGGGGGAAGCAAAGCAACACCCGAGCGTTGGGGGCAGAAGGGCGCTCAACCTGCCCTTGTTTCTGCGGCATCTGCAGCGGCTACTGAAGCCGCCGGAAGGCGTAATGAGTGTGTGAGGACGCTAGGTGGCGCCAGACCCCCTCTGTCCCCAGGGCGCGTCACAGGGTGCTGACAGTAGTAAGCAGCTCACAGGTGCTGGGTGGCCTTTGGCCTGTTCCCACGGTCAGTCCAGCCCTTCCAGGCCTCAGGGTGCGCGCCCACACACCGGCGGGACCCTCCTGCAACCCCAGAAGTGTTCACAGCCCTTGACGAAAGGACAGGCAGTTTAGGCACATTCCACGCCCCCCACTGCCTGTGACACCCTCACTCATATCTTGGTAGGCGTGAGCCTTTCCACTGGATTTTCTTTTATTTATTCTTAAAAAAAAATAGCCCCGATTAGTACTGGAACTGTTGGCTGTGCCTTCTATTTTTTTTTAATTTATTTTTTACAAAATCCTCAGCCGAGGATATGTTGACTGAATTGGGAGACAGGAAGGGGGCGAGAGAGATACATTGATCCGTTGCCTTCCGTATGTGCCCCGAGCAGGGATCGAACCTGTCACCTTCTGGTGCATGGGGCGATGCTCCAGCCGGCTGAGCCGCCTGGCCAGGGCGACCGCGTCTTGTGGACACAGACACGCGGGCCTGCGTGGTAGCTTTCTAGAAGGAAGAGGACACTCACGCGCCCTTGCAGCGGTGCTCCGGGAACCCCTGCCCTAGCCACGTGGGGGGCACTTTTCTTCCCAAGCCTGCCTTTTCTCTTTGCCGCCCATTCCAGCCAGCTGGGCCGATGCCCTTCATTGACTAACCCTAGAGGACGGTGAAGGAGGTCGTGCATGTGGTAGCGCAGAGAGCGCCCTCCGCGCGGGCCGTGCGGGTGGCCAGGACCCTCCTGACGAGGATCCTGAGGCGCGCCGTGACGTACGGTCTTGGTTCTGCGGCCGCTGCGCTTGGCGCGGTGTGCTGCGTCCGCCCGCTCTGTGCTTCGCTCGCGGGGAACTGTCCTAAAGCCGATGTGTTCCGTGTCCCTGCCGGCCAGGTGTCCGTCCTCGTGAACGACCAGAGTTGTCAGGTGGCTTATGTTCCACATGCTTTTGTGGTTTGTCCCTTGAATATAGTCTTTACGCTTGGCTGCGTTGGCCTGCTTGGGAGAAGGCTCCGTCTCCGACAGGGACCCGAAGAGGCTCCATTGTTGGGCCGTGTGCCAGCCACTGCAAAGCTCCTTCTGCCCTAAACCGAGGGCCTGCCAGTGCCAGAGGTGCCTGGGGGCTCTGTTATGCTTCCACCGCAGCTGCAGGGACTTCCACTTGGGCGTACCTGCCACACCTGGACAGGTGTGGCCAGAAAACGAACAGACCACCCACGGGGATGGTAGGGACTGGGGAGTGAAGGGAGGGGAAGGCTCGTACCAGGTTCAGAAGCGCCGCGCTGCCCCTGTTGGATGAGGGCATTGTGAGCCCCACGGCAGGGACCTGTGGTTCACATTCCGAGAGGTTTGGAGGCGCCTATGTCTGCTCATCTGAGGTCACAACATGGCCACGCTGACTCGAGTGAGGAAATAAGCAGAAGCGATCTAAAAGGAGACCCAGCTGAGCTGGAGGACTCCTTGCACTTTTCTCCGGCCCTGGTGCTTTGTTCCCAAGGAGGGTGAAGGCCCACGCAACACTGTGCCCAAAGCCAAGCCACCCGCGCAACGCTGCGCAGGAAGCAAAGCTGCGCGCAAAGCGCAGGGCCTGCGCAAAGCTCCCTCAAAGCTGCGCCCAAATCTGCACGCGAAGCTCCGCTCAAAGCTGCACCCAAATCTGCAGGCAAAGCTCTGCGCAAAGCTGCGTGCAAAGCGGAGGATCTGTGCAAAGCTACGCCCAAATCTGCAGGCAAAGCTCCGTTCAAAGCTGCGCGCAAAGCGGAGGGCCTGCGCAAAGCTGCGCGCAAAGCTGCGCGCAAAGCTGCGGATCGGTGCAAAGCTGCGCGCAAAGCAGCAGCCAAAGCCGAGGGCCGTCGCAAAGATGTGCGGAAACCGGAAGGCTGGGAGGTTCTGTCTTCCGTCTTCGTGTGGGAGGGAAGGGCAAGGTTTTTTTACTCAGCTAGAACACATTGGTGGAATAAGGGCCGGCTCCCCTTTTGGAGCCGGTGATGTGCTCTCCGCGCTGGGGTAAGAGTTTAAGCACAGCGCCCCTGCCCTGGGACAAGCAGAAGCACCTGGAATCGATGCTGTCCCCCCAGGTGGAAGGAGCTGGGGCTTCTCTCCACACTTGGCGCGGAGCTGTCCTGGGCGGGGGTGGCGTCCCTGAGTCGTGTGCCTTCTCTTTCAGGAGGAATGAGCTGAGCTGGCGGCCTCACTCCTGGCACGCCACCAAGTTCTCCGACAGCCACACCGAGACGTCTGCCTGTCAGCTGCCCTCCGCCAGCGCCTGCCCCTCCTGGCACGGCCGACACCACGCCAGGTAGGACCCGCACTTCTGGCAGTGGGATGCTCGGGCACAGCCTCACCTCTGTCGTGAGGGCGCCTGCCTTGCCTTCAGTGATGGCTACTGGAGGCTGGGCCAGTGTCCTCCCTAGTGTCCTGTCAGAAGGATGACAGTAAACGCAATAGTGTGGCTCTTATTTGTGGGCACGGGCACTCATGTGACTGTGCGCTAGATTGTGTGGCTCTACATGTGCATTTATGTGCAGACATGTGTGCACACATGTGTGCATGACAGGACGCACGAGAACATACCGATTTTGTTTATATGCGTGTATGTGCACGTGCAAGCTCGTGCATGTATGTACACACGTGCACCTGTGCAACCGCATGTGTGCACACCTATGCGCACATGTATATCGGTGTACATTTGCTTGCTCCCGTGTTGCATGCATGTGATTGTGCTTGCATGCCGACACATGTGCGCCTGCATGTCCGTGTGTGAGCGTGTGTATCTATGTAAGTGTGCTTGTGCCCGTCTGTCTGTGTGTGTGTGTGGGGGGCTCCCATAAGCAGGTCAGACCAGGCTTTGGCAGACAGCGCTGGTCTGCTGCAGTGCTGTCTAGCGTGCTCGTGGGAAGTGGCGGCCGTCCCTGCCAAACACGGCGCGAGCTCTTCCAGGTGGCAGGAGGCAATGGTGAGGGAGGCCCGGGCAGGTCTGGGAAACCACCGGCTCTCCTCCAAGCGGTGACGCCTCAGTGAAAACCGTGCCTTTTCACCCGTGATCGAGCCGACTCCATATTTCAGGATCTCCGTGAAGCCCACACTGGGAGTGCAGACGGCACTCCGACGTTGTTGCTCTGCCCTTGGCCACGGGACGCCGTGGACGAGTCGGCTCAGGGCTGTTGGTGGGAGGGTGGAGAGGACAGGCTCCATTTCTGCCAGGGGTCGTCCCGGGTCTGTCCGCACAGCAGGGGGCGGGGAACGCAAAGCTCCCTCCCTCGGGTGACTTGGCCAGCGCACGGCCCTGGGTTCTTCCTGCTCACACGGTTTCCTTGCTCATCGAGGTGCTCGGTAACCTAACGTAGCCACGGGGCCTTTCTGTTTATTTGTTTTTAAGATTTTCTTCTTTTACAGATCTTATTTAGAGATCTCTTTTTTTAGGAATCTTATTCAAAAATAAGATTATTTTATTTTTAGAGTGAGAAGGGAAGGAGAGAGGGTGAGAAATATCAATGTGTGGTTGTCTCTCCTGCGCCCTCTACTGGGGACTTGGCTTGCAACCCTGGCATATGCCCTGACTGGGGCTCGAACCTCTGACCCTTTGCTTTGCAGGATGGTGCTTAATCCACTGAGCTATACCAGCCATACCAGCCATATGCTCCGTCCGTCCCTCCCTCCCTCCCCTTTGTGGGTATTTTCTTTTTTCTTTTTCTTTTGTAATTTTTAAAAAATATTTTATTTACTTTTAGAGAGAAGGGAAGGGAGGGAGAAAGAAAGGGAGAGAAACATCCATGTGTGGTTGCCTCTCACGTGGCCCCCACTAAGGGACCTGGCCTGCAGCCCAGGCATGTGCCCTGACTGGGAATCGAACTGGTGACCCTTTGGTTTGCAGCCTGTGCTCAATCCACTGAGCTACAGCAGCCAGAGCTGGGTGTCCTTTATTTTAACCATTAAGCACAAATGTCGTAGCTCTGCTGAGCGTGACTGAAATACCTTCTGCCACTCCGGAGGCCTGGGTACCGTGCCGCCCCTGAAACCCTGTGGCTCTTCTTGTCCACAGCTCCTCCTCCCAGGACCTGTCGGGCGCGTGGGAGCCCACGAACCTGCAGCGCAGCTCGGGCCACTTCAGCTCCCTGGGCAGCGTGGACAGCCTGGACCAGCCCTCGCAGCCCTACCCCTCGGGCCGCCTGTCGGCGGCCAAGTCCAACAGCAGCATCGACCACCTGGGCGGGCCGAGCAAGCGCGACTCGGCCTACGGCTCCTTCTCCACCAGCTGCAGCACGCCCGACCACACCTTGCCCAAGGCCGACGCCGCCTCCACGGAGAACATCCTCTACACCGTGGGGCTGTGGGAGGCCTCCCGGCCGGCGGGCGGGCGACAGGACCCCCTGGGCCCGGAGGAGAGGCTCGGGCCCTTGGCGCCCAGGGCGCCCCTGGAGAGCAGCAGGAGCCCCTGGCCGGAGGACGGGCCGGACCCCAAGCTGCCCCCGGCGGGGAGGTCCAGCTTTGGGCCCGTCTGGTACGTTCCGGATAAGAAGAAAGCCCCGGCCTCCCCGCCCCCGCCCCCGCCCCCTCTGCGCAGTGATAGCTTCGCGGCCACCAAGAGCCACGACAAGGCCCAGGGCCCTGCGTTCGCAGAGGCCGCTGCGGCCGCCCAGCAGCACTTGGCGGGCCTGACGCGGGCTCAGCCCCGCGGCGACTGGAGAGCGGAGCCCGCCGAGGCCCAGCGCCGGCCGGCACGCCCCGGAGACGGCAGGAGACCCGGCAGCTCGGGCTGCGCCGCCGACGCGCCCCTGGACTGCGGGTGGCCGTCCGCCGGCCACGGGGCCGCCAGCCGGCTGCAGGCCTCTCTGTCCAGCACCGACGTGCGCTTCCCGCCGTCGCCCTACGGGTGCCAGCACCCGCGCCAGTACAGCGACGACGGCCCCTTCTTGCACGAGGGCCCCGGGGCCGCCGCGGGGCAGGGGGGGCAGCTGCGCGGGGTCCTCGCCGGGGTTCGGCCGGAGGCTCCGGCCCAGCGCTTCCAGGACGACAACCCCTGTCAGGCCAGGTGGCCGCCTGCTGCTGACCGGAAGGGGGACAGCGGTGGGCAGAGCCACCCCCGCTCCGGGACTGCAAGGCAGGGCCTCCTGGGGGGTCCTCAGCTGTCGCAGCTCCGGGACGTCTCCTGGCGCTGCGCCTCGCCTCTGGGCGCCCCAGACGGTCCCGCCCCACAGCTGGTGGGCCAGAAGCCCCGCGGCCCCTTCCCGCAGCCCGAGGATGCTCAGGGGAGGGAGAGGGCTGACCTAGGGCACAGAGGGGTGGGGGGCTGCCCCTCGGGAACGGAGGAGCCCCCGGGGGCCGGCCAGGGCGCTGCCGCGGTGAAGCCCGCGGCGGACGCCTTCAAGTGGGCGGACGGCGACCGCGGCAAGATCTCGGCTCACAAGACGCCCCTGCTGCACTCGCTGGCCCAGGAGGGCAGCCGGCGGCCCGCGGAGGGCCGGGAAGGGGGCGCGGACAGGCTGCCGCCCTTCGACGCCCAGGTGGGCAAGCCCACGCGGAGGAGCGACCGGTTCGCCACCACGCTGCGGAACGAGATCCAGCAGCGGCGGGCCAGGCTGCAGAAGAGCAAGAGCACCGTGGCGCTGGCCGGGCCCGCCGAGGCCGAGGCCGAGGGCGAGGGTGAGGGCGAGGCCAGCGGCGGCTGGTGCGGGGCCGCCGCGCCGGGGCCGTCTTTCCCGGGCACCTACAAGGACCACCTGAAGGGGGTGCAGGCGCGCGTCCTCAGGGCCACGTCGTTCCAGCGCCGCGACTTGGACCCCAGCCCTGCGGAGCGGTACGCGGGGTCCCCAGAACCCAGGCCCGCGAGCCACCGCCCAGAGCCCAGCGCCGCCGCCGCGCCCCACGCCTGGGAGGCCGGCCCCGCCCGGCCGCCTTCCTGCGCGGGCGGCGCGCCCCACGTGGCCCGCATCGGGGGCCGCAGGCGCTTCACGGCGGAGCAGAAACTGAAGTCCTACTCGGAGCCGGAGAAGATGAACGAGGTGGGGCTCTCGGGGGGTGGCCGCCCCCGCGCGCACCCGCACCCGCACCCCGAGGACACCGTGGGCAGCTTCGCCGACAGGTGGAAGTTTTTTGAGGAAACCAGCAGGCCGGTGGCGCAGAGAGCCGGCCCGCGGCAGGTGCTCCCCGGGGTCCCGAAGGAGAAGCTGGACCGGCCGTGGGCCGCCGGCCACGGGGACCAGGGCCCTGAGCTCCGGCTCCAGGGGAGGGCCCGCGCCACCTCCTTCGGAGAAACCGCCGCGGGCGGCCCCAGGAAGGCGGGAAAGGCGGGGGCACCGGAGGAAGCACCGCAGAGGCTGGGAACCTTCGCCGAGTATCAGGCCTGCTGGAGGACGCAGCGCAGGGGCCCCGACGCCAGGGCCTCGGGGCGGTACCACTCGGCCGACGACATCCTGGACGCCAGCCTGGGCCCGCGCGAGCCGCTGCGGCAGGTGCACGAGCGCTCGCGGTCGTCGCCGTCCACGGAGCTCTACAAACAGGTGAGCCTCGCTGGTTTTTTGTTTTTACTCTCACCTGAGCACGTGTGTGTGTGTTGATTTTAGAGCGAGGAAAGCGAGGATAGACACACACACGTATTGATCAGTTGCCTCCGGTATGCGCCCCAAACGGGAGCAAATTTGCAGCCTTTTTGGTGCACTGGCCGAGGCTCCAACCCATGGAGCCGCCCGGCCACGGGGCGATGACAGTCTCAAGGGTCCTCATTTCCCCTTGAGCTCCCAGCCCCGCTGTTGTCACGCCTTGCTTCCCCTGTCTCCCCCTACCCCCTTGTTCGCTGGTCTTGGCGCTCATCCAAAGCCAAGACTTGGGAGGAAACTGTGGAAGGTGGTGAGTTGTCCTCGGAAATGGAAAGGGGTGTTTCAGGTAAACAGTTAGGAAAACTACTGAGAGCTGCTTTTTTTTTTCCTTTTTTTTTCACGTTTGTCATATTTTATTTTTATTTCTTTAATTTTTAAAAAAGATTTTATTTATTTATTTTTAGACAGAGAAAGAAGGGAGAAAGAGAGAGAGAGAGAGAAACATCCATGTGCGGTTGCTGGGGGCCGTGGCCTACAACCCAGGCATGTGCCCTGACTGGGAATCGAATCTGCGATGCTTTGGTTCGCAGCCTGTGCTCAATCCACTGAGCTACCTGAGCCAGGGCTTTTTTTTTTGCAAGTATTTTTCACGATTGGCCTGGGACCGATGTGATGAGAAAGCCGCGCATGACGCTGTGCAGCATTGCGCTGTTTTTGCGGCGCGCGTGGGGACGGTCAGACTTGACGGGAGCCTTTCCCAGGAGCTCCATCTCTGTGCCCCAGCTTCCTCGGCGACAGCTGCCATCTCCTTCTCTCTCTCTCTGCGTTTTGGGGCTCCCGACAACCTGCCTGTCTGTGTCTGAGCAAACGTTTGCTGCGGTGTCTTGAAAAGAACAGGCGGCAGGAGCATGTCAGAGCAGTCAGAGTGCACATGTGAGAGAGAGAGAGAGAGAGAGAGGGGCCCAGCCGTGCAGCCTGGGCTCTGGGAGGCCCCTGGGCGCGGGGAGTGTTGTGCTGTCCCCTGCGGGACCCCTGGCCCCTGGCCCGTGCAGGATGACCACCGGGAAATCCTCGCTCGCTCACTCGGGAGACAGGAATCCCAGACTCAGTGCATCCGGGGCTCCGGGCTCTGCTGCCTCCAGTTGTTAGCAGCTGGGTTGCATTTCACTTCCGTTGTGGCGTCGTGTCTTTTTGTTTTTGTTTTTGGGTTTTTTTTTTTTTTGAGCCAGTGGTGTCCCACGGCTTCCCAGACCCCACGGAGCGGACGCAGGGTCTGGCTGAGTCATCTCGGGGCCAGTGCTTCCTGGCACTGAGCTCCCAGCCCCGTGGCCAGCAGTCCCCGCTCTCGGGGCGAGCCCACAATGACGGGGTTCGTAATAACAGACGTCCCGAAGGAGGGCGGCCTGGTGACGCGGGTGTCCCTGTGCTGCCCTTGGCAGGAAGCGCCCGTGGAGCCGCGGCGACAAGCAGAGGACCCTGGGGAGCGCAGAGGACTCGCCTCCGCAGTCCCGGATGAGGAGCGGTGTCCGGCCCCAAGGTAGGCGCCCGAGTTTGGGTTTGGGGGTATCTAGAGAGCCTCCCGGGGGGGTGGGTGTCTTTCTAGGGGTTGTTGCTTGGTGAACGGGGTTGGGCATGTGGTGTCGGTGGAACCTGAAGGGGTTGCTGACGGCATTCCGGTGTCCCTGGGTGCCCCCACCCACCGCTGGCCTCCACCCCGGGTCTTGGCTACAGCCACAGACCCACACGCTGCCTGGGGAGGGGCCCGGAGGGCAGAGAAGCCTGCTGGTGCCACCGCGGCATTTTCCGTTCTGAGAGCGGCTGCTGTGTGTTGTGTGCAGTCAGGTTCCGTGTGCCGGCAGGAGGAACCCAGCGCCGTGCCCTCCAATGGAGTGCTTCCTGCAGGATGGCGACGGGAGGGTGCTTCCGTGGCCTCGCTGGCTGGCGGATGGGTGGCCGGGGCGCGGGCTGTGAATCCGCGTTGCCTCCCGGGATGGTCCGTGAGAAAGGGATCGGGCAAGCGGCCCTGAAGAGGGCGTGCTTCAGGAGTCGATTTTGAGCTTCATTGAGGAGGTCAAGTCCGTGGGCTCCCCCAGGAAACCTCAGAGGCCCTGCAAGGTTGTGGATGGCGCTGGCGGGAGCGGCAGCGTGCGACACAGTTGCGAAGAGCTGCAGGTGTCGCTGTTTCACCGTAGCGAGGAGGGAGTTCCCATTGAGTGCCTAGTGTCGCCTTGCCCTTCGCACCAGAGGGAGGCGGAGGAGAAAGCCTAGGTCTCCTGCAGGAGCTGGTGCTGCAGGAGCTGGTGCGCAGCCCTACGTAGCAGGCTTGACGGAGGGGTGGGGATACTTGTGTGTGCCGTAGGCTCGCTGCGTGCGGAGGTTTCTCAGGCCTCGGGGATCTCTGCTGATGGGGGTGCGAGGGCCCACGTAGAGCCATCCCTCCAAGTTCCAAAATGTGTGCTTATGAGAGCGGCACGGCATGGGGTTGCATTTCCCTTCGTGTGTGTCTCTGCGGGAAGCGAGGGGCCGAGCACTCACGCGCGGCTGCACCCGAGACGCCCCCCCCCGGGTGAGGGAGAGAGGCCGATGCATATGATACACCTACACAGTGCGAGCAGCACAGTGACAGCTTTATTCCCGCGGGCGCCGTGCACGTCAGAGCCGAGCGCCAGCTGGACTTTCTGCAGAGCCCACCCCCAGCCCCTGCCGGGAGGGCACACCGTGGGTGCGGCTGCGGCTGCGGCTTCGGGGGCGGCTGCCCAGGGCGCACCCTGCGCCCAAGCCACGTGTGTGTGTGAGTGGCGCTGCAGAGGGCTCGTGCGCTGCTGGGAGTTGGGGCCCCTGCTGTGAGCAGAGTCCCAGTGAACAGCCAGGATGGACACACTGAGTGTTCTAAGTGGCTCTATCCACAGTGAAGGGGTCGGCGGGAAGGGGGAGGGGCCGCGCACCCTCTCTCCGTCACGGCCGGGCCTTCCAGCAGACTGCGCAACTGCTCTGCAGAAATCAGTTCCAGAAGCTTGCTGCTTTTGAGCTACAGACCTAGTAATTTTGAGAATTGTGGGTGCCTTGAAAGCGTGGCAGGCCGCAGCGAAATGCTAGGGCAGGAATATGGAAAAGTGGTTTCCAGCTTTTTTTTTTTTTTTTTCAGGAAATTGTTTCTTTTCTAAAGCGTTGGCAAGAAACAGTGCCCTGGAAACATTGAATTTGATAGTGAAAGAAATGAAAATTCAGGCAAGGGACAGTCGTTTACTCCCCCCTCCCCCCCAAAGAATTATAAATGCAAAGGTTTCAAGATGTGCAAATATTTCACATAAGTTTAAAGTAATGTAAACATGCCCTGGCTGGTCCCCAGTGGCTCAGTGGACTGAGTGCCAGCCTGGTAACCAAAAGGTCGCCAGTTCAATTCCCAGTCAGGGCACATGCCTGGGTTGCGGGCCAGGTCCCCAGTGGGGGGCGCTCAAGAGGCAACCACACAGTGATGTTTCTCTCCCTCTCTTCCCCCTGTCTCCTCTATCTAAAAATAAATCATAAAATAAAATCTTTTAAAAAATATATAATGTGAACAAGTTGGTATAAAGAATATAAATCATATAAATTGCAGATCTGGTACACAGTGTGTGATTATAAAAAGTATTTTCTTGTCCTATTTTGGGATGACAGAAGAGCATTAGGATTATTTGGGCAAGGGAAATAAAGGGGAAAAAAACCGCAAATGGGACTACAATCCAATTAAAAGCTCCTGCATGGCTAAAGAAACCAGCATCAAAATGAAAAGGGAACCGACCATGTAGGAGAACGTACTTGCCAGTGATACCTCAGGCAAGGTTTTGATCTCCGAAATATATAAAGAACTCATATGAAGATTCCATTCCCAGAAGACAAAACAGCCCAGTTAAAAAATGGGCAAAGAACCTGAACAGACCCTTCTCCGAGGAGGACACACAGAGGGCCCAGAGACACATGAAAAGATGCTCAGTATCACTAGGCATCAGAGAGATGCAGATTAAAACCACAGGGAGATGCCGCTTCACACCGGTCAGAAGGACCCTCATAGCTGTGGGTGGGTGGACGGGCGGGTGGGTGGCCGGAGGGACGGATGAGGGGACGCACGGGTGAATCCCAGCCTCGGGTTCCTTGAGCGCCTGCTTGTGGACGGGGGTGAATGAGACTCCCTGTTGGCCGCACCGTGGGAGCTGAGGTTCTGTGTGGAGTGTGGGGTCCACGGCCGGAAGGGAAATGGGCTGCCCTCGTCTTCCTGGGCGCACGTGGCGTTTAGAGTCCAGGCACACGCGTCTCCCAGTGCAGGTGGGGGGAGCAGGGGTGTGTCTTCCGGTGTGGCGGTGAACCTGTGTAAGGAAGCTGAGAAGTTAGTTCCAAGTTCGATTGTCGCTGCTCCGCTCTGAGCCTCTTGGATGAGGGTTGTGTTCTGGGAGGCGCCGGAGCTGGTGCCAAAAGGGGACCCAGGGGTGGGGCAGCCAGTGGCTGCAGGTGCTGGCAGGTCCCCTCTTCTTCACCCCCTTCCAGCCACTTGCACCCCCCCCCACCTGTGTGAGGGGCTGGTGCTGAGCTGCAGTGACGTAGTCCATTGGGACAGATGGGAGAAGCCTTGGAGAAGGACCATGTATCCCGAATCACAATAATCACAGTCATTAAATTGAATCTGAATGAAATCAAGGTCTTTGGGGAAGATGTACTTTCATATTTATTTGTTTATATATAAAAGGTTTTATTTATTTATTTTTAGAGAGAGAAGGGAGGGAGAAAGAGAGAGAGAGAAACGTCAATGTGCAGTTGCTGGGGGTCATGGCCTGCAACCCAGGCATGTGCCCTGACTGGGAATCGAACCTGCGACACTTTGGTTGGCAGCCCGAGCTCAATCCACTGAGCTACGCCAGCCGGGGCTGTTTATATATTTTTAATGAGAGATTTTACTTATTTATTTTTAGAGAGAGGGGAAAGGAGGGAGAGAGGGAGAGAAACATCATTGTGTGGTTGCCTCTTGCACGCCCCCTATTGGGGACCTGGCCCACAGCCCAGCCTTGTGCCCTGCCTAGGAATTGAACCGGCCACCCTTTGGTTTGCAGGCCAGTGCTCAATCCACTGAGCCACCCCAGCCAGGACTGCTTTCATATCTATAAGGAAGCTAAAATCTACCTGAGGGTCACCTTCTCATGTGTTTTTTTTTTCCCCTGAGAGGTAACTTGTGGGCAGAGGCGAGGGCCAGGGTGGTTATTCGTGTACGAGTGGATTTCGGGGGAAGACAGGCAGATTTCCCATCCAGGCTCCGCCTCGTTTGTGGCTTTAAGTAAGAGGGCGTGCACCTCTCCAGGCCTTTAATTACAGGAGGGGCAATTGAGGCTTTCCATTCTGAACCGCTCGGGCTGGGTAATTAGGAGGCTGGGGTAACAGGGCGAAACTCGGGCTTGGAGCCCCGGCGGGGCTGAGCCCCCCCTCTGGCCTGGCTTCCTCCCACCGCCAGCTGTGTGCACGGAGGAGGGCTTGCAGGGGGGACCCCGTCCGTCCCCTGAGAAGTGAGAACCAGCAGCCGACGGAAGAGCTCTGTGCCCAGGGTCTGCTGGCTGTGTTTTCTGTGTGTGTTCCTATATGTTAGTTTCCATACGTATGCAAGTTTGCGTATGTTCCCTAAGTTTTTTAAAAGAGTATTTATTTTGAGAGAGAGTGGAAGGGAGGGAGAGAGAGAGGGAGAGAAAAATCAATCAATATGTGGTTGCCTCTTGCATGCCCCCTACTGGGGACCTGGCCTGCAGCCCAGCCATGTGCCCTGACTGGGAATTGAACCGGCCACTCTTTGGTTCGCTGGCCGGTGCTTAATCCACTGAGCCACGCCAGCCAGGAGCTTAGGTAAGTGTTTAACGGATGTAATGTTCATGCATCAGCACGGTGCTTAGGACCCAGCTGGCGTTGGGGGGAGAATACGAAGAAGTCACTGCCCCTGGAACGGCAGTCCAACCAGAGACACTGCCAAGTGTCCTGTGTGTTAATTGGGGTAAATGAGCAAGGGTCAGAAGTGATGGCTGTGAGTTGAGAAGAGGTTCCGAGAGGCAGGTTGAACACAGAAAGTCCACCCTAAAGGTGAGGTGCAGGACTCTGGGGTGGGGTGGGGGTCTCCAGTGGGAGGGGGCTGGTAGGGACCCTGTTGGGGGGGGAGGGGCACTTCAGGGGCGGGAAGGGCACGCTGAGCTCTCAGCTGCATGGGGTTGGGGGGTTGGGGGGGTGGGGGGGTGGCTCAGGCACTTCTCCTCAATACAGGTCATTGTGAGGGGACACTGTGCGTGGGCCGGGGTCAGCCGGCCAGCCCTTTGTCTGCGCGGATGAATGCTGGCCCACAGTGAAACTTCCGCAGACACTGTGTTCCTTGTCCGCCGGATGACATTCCTAGTGAGTGCGTAATAAATACATCGGAGACTCCGCACCCATGGACGTGAAATGCGCTTCTGAAACTTCCTTACCCCAGCGGACTTCTGTTCGGGTTGCGGAGTTGTCATTCCCGTGGATGACACACGTCCCGTGGTTATTTCC